AAATGCACTCAAGTGAATCAAAGAATTTTACCTCTATGTTAAGTTCAATAATTTCCAAGTTGACCCAACATTTTCTGCCTTCTATATAAAAAACCCCTCTGCTGAATATGGATTTCTGAACCCACCCACACATTGATGTTATTAGAACATTCACCTTCTCTTTTAGATTACATGCATGCAAAGACAAAATTGACCTCAATATTGGCAAATATCTAAAAGAACAATTAATTAGGTTCATAAACAGGAAAATTAATGTTGTCACTGTTGTATACAAACTGACAGTCTTAAATTACCTTTAGTGCTCAAGCTCTTCGTGTCCTGTTGCTTGAAATAGAAGCTACGATGATCGAGTGATTTGTGATAGTTCTTTGCATAGATTTCAGCCCAAACTTTATTAAAATCAGAACGACACCTTGCCCACTCTTCTTGTTTCTGTTTCAAGCGTGTTAATATAACTGGCAAGGCAAGAGGTGCATTCTTCCTTAATACATCCATCACATCAAGTCCGTGGTCACCATACAAACGTTCAATGCACCTTAAATTCAGAGCTACAATAACAACAAAGAGAAAAACATTCAACATGACAGCATATATGAATATCTTGAGCAATCAGTAGCCAGTTATTGTTTTATCACCTGTAAAATGGTCTTCAATACAAATCGGGCTGTCTGGCTTAATTGCATTGTCATTGATCTTGTCGAGTAGTTCTTCAACGCATTTAGTGGTTGCATTCACAGATTCTAACAACATGTCCAGTTCAAACCTGACATCATGATAACATTACCAATTGCCAAATACAATATAACAACCACATCAAACAAATGTATATTTCAAGCAATTAATCGAGCAAAAGAGAGTGAGAAGTGAGAAAATAAAGATACAAGTTCCTTCACATAACTATCGTCTTACTAAGGAAAATTATTTAGTGATGGCAAAAGCTCTCACATAAACTAAGCGGAGAGGTAAATTACTAAGTTACACTGAAGCCTCATAAGGAAGGAAACAGAAAATGAAAGCAATTAAATAACGAAGGAAGAGACAACAGAAAACCTTTGACTTCATGTCAAGTATAATATAAGAAAGAGAACACAGGTAAAAGATCATAACAGTTAGATGATCTCAAGGCAGTTTCCAACCTGTCATCTTCACATCGGAACAAGCTTTCTTCATACTGGTTTTTGCGCATGTGTTTAAAAGAATAGTCCTCACTTCCTGAAGTGACGGACACCCAATGATCATTCAATACTTCAGCACCAACCTCTGTTCTCTGACTTGCTAAAGGAATTGGATACTGTATCCAAAAAACCAAGGCAACATGAATGAGAAATTTTCTAAGAGGAATATTATAGATGTTGATAAATTTGATGAAGAAATTTCCTACATTATCCGGCAGAAGCCGATAACTGGGTGTGCAGCTCTCACAGTTAGAGAGGTCTAGTTCTTGAATGGGTTTTGCCATATACTTATCTTTGCTTGAATATAAAGGCATCTTCTGTCCAACTATATCTTTACTCCCAAAACCTCTGTCAGATCTATTCCTTTCTCTGTCGTCATGGTCTTTATCTCTGTCTTCCCTCTCATGATCTCGATTTCTACCCCTATCCTCTAGCTTCACTGATTTGGGTAAATGGCCATCGTTCCACAAGGATCCTGCATGGAATAAAAAAACAGCAGTATGATTTGCAAACTGTATTCAACTTCAGTATATTTCGAGGCACTGAAATATGGTTTAAATTTGAAATCAGTCATATCCTCTAATTCATGTGATGCCTGAGTGATATACTGCCTGAACACCCATTGTGATGATGAGCCAAGAGGAGCATCTTAAATAAATATGACTACAAATCACATCATTTTACTTACTTTTGCTCACAACACCAGCAAGACAACCATCTGCGGGAAAGGTGTAACAATATTAAATCAGCAAACGCAGAATCCAGAGAAGACAGCTTAAAAGCAGGAATCCAGCTATAAAAAGAAATAGAAAAAAATGAACAACTACCTATCTTCTCACATCGATCCAAAAATTCGTTGAACTTTTCCATGAGGTCTGGATATCGCCCAAGTAGATCACCCACCTGATGCAAATGATGCACAATATATCATGGAAATAAGTATCTCATGCTTAGCAATTTCTTTCAACATCTTTAGTGGTATTCAGTATATGGCCTTGAGCCAAAAGATAGGCCATGGACATACATATCACTCAGAATTCATCTTAACAACTGTGTTTGTATGATATTTTTCTAATACTTTTTCTGTTTTTACATCAATAGTATGTGAATATCCGTCTGAAACAACTTTAAAATGCCTATAGACTTTCCAGGAAAGTATGCGGTTATCTCTAGTGCCTTTTCCTAATTAAGAAACAATTAAAGTATAGTTTCTTCTCATACTCCTGCAATAAAAAACAGTGTAACTGAATGTGGCATCATATCACTCAAACAAAAACCTACTATATCAAACGACATATTGAAACAAAAGATGATGATTGAGTGCCCAAATAAATAGAAAATTAGAATCAATTCAACTCAGCTCAACATAGTCTTGTCCCCAACATAGGAATCAGCTATATGAATATTGTTCATATAGCTGATTCCTATGTTGGGGACAAGACTATGTTGAGCTGAGTTGAATTGATTCTAATTTTCTATTTATTTGGGCACTCAATCATCATCTTTTGTTTCAATATGTCGTTTGATATAGTAGGTTTTTGTTTGAGTGATATGATGCCACATTCAGTTACACTGTTTTTATTGCAGGAGTATGAGAAGAAACTATACTTTAATTGTTTCTTAATTAGGAAAAGGCACTAGAGATAACCGCATACTTTCCTGGAAAGTCTATAGGCATTTTAAAGTTGTTTCAGACGGATATTCACATACTATTGATGTAAAAACAGAAAAAGTATTAGAAAAATATCATACAAACACAGTTGTTAAGATGAATTCTGAGTGATATGTATGTCCATGGCCTATCTTTTGGCTCAAGGCCATATACTGAATACCACTAAAGATGTTGAAAGAAATTGCTAAGCATGAGATACTTATTTCCATGATATATTGTGCATCATTTGCATCAGGTGGGTGATCTACTTGGGCGATATCCAGACCTCATGGAAAAGTTCAACGAATTTTTGGATCGATGTGAGAAGATAGGTAGTTGTTCATTTTTTTCTATTTCTTTTATAGCTGGATTCCTGCTTTTAAGCTGTCTTCTCTGGATTCTGCGTTTGCTGATTTAATATTGTTACACCTTTCCCGCAGATGGTTGTCTTGCTGGTGTTGTGAGCAAAAGTAAGTAAAATGATGTGATTTGTAGTCATATTTATTTAAGATGCTCCTCTTGGCTCATCATCACAATGGGTGTTCAGGCAGTATATCACTCAGGCATCACATGAATTAGAGGATATGACTGATTTCAAATTTAAACCATATTTCAGTGCCTCGAAATATACTGAAGTTGAATACAGTTTGCAAATCATACTGCTGTTTTTTTTATTCCATGCAGGATCCTTGTGGAACGATGGCCATTTACCCAAATCAGTGAAGCTAGAGGATAGGGGTAGAAATCGAGATCATGAGAGGGAAGACAGAGATAAAGACCATGACGACAGAGAAAGGAATAGATCTGACAGAGGTTTTGGGAGTAAAGATATAGTTGGACAGAAGATGCCTTTATATTCAAGCAAAGATAAGTATATGGCAAAACCCATTCAAGAACTAGACCTCTCTAACTGTGAGAGCTGCACACCCAGTTATCGGCTTCTGCCGGATAATGTAGGAAATTTCTTCATCAAATTTATCAACATCTATAATATTCCTCTTAGAAAATTTCTCATTCATGTTGCCTTGGTTTTTTGGATACAGTATCCAATTCCTTTAGCAAGTCAGAGAAACAGAGGTTGGTGCTGAAGTATTGAATGATCATTGGGTGTCCGTCACTTCAGGAAGTGAGGACTATTCTTTTAAACACATGCGCAAAAACCAGTATGAAGAAAGCTTGTTCCGATGTGAAGATGACAGGTTGGAAACTGCCTTGAGATCATCTAACTGTTATGATCTTTTACCTGTGTTCTCTTTCTTATATTATACTTGACATGAAGTCAAAGGTTTTTCTGTTGTCTCTTCCTTCGTTATTTAATTGCTTTCATTTTCTGTTTCCTTCCTTATGAGGCTTCAGTGTAACTTAGTAATTTACCTCTCCGCTTAGTTATGTGAGAGCTTTTGCCATCACTAAATAATTTTCCTTAGTAAGACGATAGTTATGTGAAGGAACTTGTATCTTTATTTTCTCACTTCTCACTCTCTTTTTGCTCGATTAATTGCTTGAAATATACATTTGTTTGATGTGGTTGTTATATTGTATTTGGCAATTGGTAATGTTATCATGATGTCAGGTTTGAACTGGACATGTTGTTAGAATCTGTGAATGCAACCACTAAATGCGTTGAAGAACTACTCGACAAGATCAATGACAATGCAATTAAGCCAGACAGCCCGATTTGTATTGAAGACCATTTTACAGGTGATAAAAACAATAACTGGCTACTGATTGCTCAAGATATTCATATATGCTGTCATGTTGAATGTTTTTCTCTTTGTTGTTATTGTAGCTCTGAATTTAAGGTGCATTGAACGTTTGTATGGTGACCACGGACTTGATGTGATGGATGTATTAAGGAAGAATGCACCTCTTGCCTTGCCAGTTATATTAACACGCTTGAAACAGAAACAAGAAGAAGTGGGCAAGGTGTCGTTCTGATTTTAATAAAGTTTGGGCTGAAATCTATGCAAAGAACTATCACAAATCACTCGATCATCGTAGCTTCTATTTCAAGCAACAGGACACGAAGAGCTTGAGCACTAAAGGTAATTTAAGACTGTCAGTTTGTATACAACAGTGACAACATTAATTTTCCTGTTTATGAACCTAATTAATTGTTCTTTTAGATATTTGCCAATATTGAGGTCAATTTTGTCTTTGCATGCATGTAATCTAAAAGAGAAGGTGAATGTTCTAATAACATCAATGTGTGGGTGGGTTCAGAAATCCATATTCAGCAGAGGGGTTTTTTATATAGAAGGCAGAAAATGTTGGGTCAACTTGGAAATTATTGAACTTAACATAGAGGTAAAATTCTTTGATTCACTTGAGTGCATTTATTATCCTTGGAG